TATTGCTACTGCACTATTCATTCTAGTTCCTACGGCCTTTCTACTTATAATTTACGTAAAAACAGTCAGTCAAAATAATTAATTTGAATTAAACTTGACTTATGAGTTCTTATCAAAAGTTTTCGAAATCAAATGAAAAGTATTCCAATTTTAGTGTCTTAAATTGAAATTAAATAATGATCGGCAGTATTCTAATAGCTAGATCCTATGGTCGAAAGATTCATCTACCATAGGATCTAGCTATTAGAATTATTGTGGTGTATAAAGATAAAGTTGTATAATGTGTAAAGTACAACTTTACAAAATATACAATAAAGATAGAGGCTTAATTTAATATATATTAATCTCTCCAATATTAGTCTTCATATATTTGTATGTGGATATCCATTCCATATATGGAATGGGGTTGGCATAGCACCCAATTCTATTTATTTGTTCCATCTATTTGTATTGTATTGGTTTCGATCAATCTAAAATAATTGTTTTGTTCTTACGTCTTATCGTTCTAATTACTAGACTTTTTTTTTATGAATTTCAATCTGAACTCGGTATCTATTGAAAGAAAAGAATAAAATCAATGAGGGAAAAGGATATAGGCCATGCCATATTTTAATAAAATCATTAGCAAACATTCCGAAGAAGTAATTGATTGAACCATCAACAGTAGTTCCACGGGCACTTCTCGGATTTCGAAAAGGAATAGTAAACTTCGCCAATTTTTATGGCCTGAACCATAATATAAAATGGAAGTCGATAAAGTATAAATAAAATTTTAAAAATTATAAAACAAGTGGTAAATATGCAATATGTGACTCGCCTGAGGGAGGCTCCTCTTATGTATAGCATCTCCTTAGACAACCACTATGTCTATACCGCTTTTCATAGAAAGTGCGTATACACTTAACAAAACGACTTCTTCTTTTTAAAGAGGGACTAAACAATCTGGTCTTCTTCAGCACCCACCTATAAGTCTGGTAAAAGACCGTTGATTGGAATAGAACCGAATTTGGTTGGGAAAAATTTCCTATCATTGGGATCCCTTTCAAAATACAAAGATGGGAGTCGGTGAAATATCTGTTTGATTGAAAAAGTATGATTCATATAACGATGCATTACTCCATTCGAATCCAATGAAATTCGAAATGACGATCTTTTGATTTTCATTTTAATTAAATAGTTCAAAACGTGTTACAGAACGATCTATAAAACAATTGATACAGTTTGATTAATTAGTAATACTCTTAGAGTCCACTCCTTCCCCACACTACGAGTGAAAGGGAAAATGTAAAGACTACCATTAAAGAAGCCCAAGCGAGACTTACTATATCCATGTGAATTATATCCCCTTATCTCTATAAATATGAAGGAATTATTCCTCAATAATAAATAATAATTAATAGTATAGTGGAATCAATGGCACAGAGTCAAAAAAAGGATTCTGACCGAATACTATTGATAATCCCTCTACCCTTAGAATAGTTCCTTGAATCTAGGATAGGATTCAAGGATTTACAATCTTTTCAAAAAAAACCACTTCAAAAAACGCCACCCGAATGCAATGCTTCGAATCAAACAAGCATTAATAAATAGCGCCCTCCCTCTGCTTCGGATGGGAAATAATTTGGTGAGTTATATCAGCAGAACAGAAGAAAAGATTTCAAGTTTTTTGTTGATCAGGCGACACCCGGATTTGAACTGGGGAAAAGGGATTTGCAGTCCCCCGCCTTACCACTCGGCCATGCCGCCAAACCGATACAAAATTGGTGAAATTTGTCCCGTATTACTTAACTGCTTTTTCTTTTTATTTTTATTGTACTTGCATCTTGACTTCTGTTTTTCTTACTTAATACTTTTCTTTCCTAAAAGAAATCTTTATTTCGATTGGAGTTGATCCGCCCCTGTCTTGTCTAGTATATAGTATCTCAAAATGGCCAACTTCTCTCACTTTCTATTAAAAATCAAATGTGGATTTTCATTCGCAAAAGTCAAAATTTATGACAAATTTGAACCATTAACTATTAACTGCTGACTGCGAATTCATGAACGGTTTGAATCTCAAAATTGGATATTTTCTTTTCCTAATGACATAAATAAGAAAATACAAATTGATACATCAATATTGAGTTAAAAATCCCTCTCCATTTCAATTATAACAACAATTATGAGTATCTGTAAACCCCCGAGCAGAAACTGTTACACAGATGTCTATTATCTTATTTATATATGTTATATCTTGGCTAGAAGAAATTCTCAGAAAATTTTCATATCTCCATTTTATTTTGAATTGAATAGAAAATAGAAAATTTCTATTTTAATCGAGCACAACCCGTCTTGTGTTGCCCCCCCCAAAAAAAGAACGGCAATACAATAAAAGAGAAGGGGGATATTAATATCTGCATACGTGTTTAATAAATACAACTCCCCCTATATTAGAAACTTCACGTATGTAATATCATAATAATGGTAGAAATTGAATCATTTTTTTTTTATTTTGATATTC